CTTGAGAGGAAAGGATAGAAATTCAAGGAGCTGAGGAAGAGGAGGGTGTAGGAGAGGATGTGGTAGGCAAAGATGCAGTGGAATGTTTAAGATGCCTAGTGCTACAGGTGGAGTAGGCATCAGAAAAGTGGTAAATATATAAGTATCTGGATTTAGACTGGGGAGAGGGGGGAGTAGGGGTAGGATGATTCAGGGTAGAGGGAAGAGATACTTGGGAAGATGCTGGGACATCTTTAGAAGATGGGAGGGGAGCAGAAGAAAGGACAGTTTTGGAATACATAGAGAGAGAAAAACCTTGTCACCATGCCTCCTGGCTGGCCTCACATAGAGTGAGGCCTAGTTTGAATCTGAGAACTGCCACCGCACATTCAAGCTTATAGGCAGGGCAGCTCCTATAAAATACATGGGAGTCACCACAATTGACACATTTATGTGACTGAGCAGGACAATTTGAATGGTCATGAAAAGGTTGGGCACAGAGAAGGCAGCAGGCTGTGGAGCAAGTGTTTGGCTGGATGGCCAAAATGCCAACATTTCTAACATTGACCAGGAAGGGGGGTCAATATGGCCAGACAGGTCAGGACACTTCAATATAAATTTTATGGGAGAGATCATGTCTATGGAATCTAATCAAGGCAATACTGGTGTAAGACTTACACTGTCTTCTGGGAAGAATAGTGCAGCACTATAAGGCCACTGAATCATAATCGATAAGGCAGGCAAGTAGGTAGTTTTTAGTCTGACCAGTTCTTGTAGATAGGAACAGTTCAGTTCAGTTCAACAATTTTGACATACCATATGTCAGCGCTATGCAGAACAAGATGGGTTGGGCTTCACACCTAGGCATTGCAGCTACCTTACTTCCTGGCTTAGCACCTTCCTTGCCAACCCAAGACTTTCTCTTCCGGCCCTTCGTCATGCCTGGAAGAATGGACACCCAAAGAATAGAGTACGAGGCACCTCCGCCAGCAGGAAAAAGGAGTCGCTGGATATAAGGACGTCTCGTCAGGCAGAGAGGGGGAGCACCAGAAGCAAACGAAGACCTAGCAGAGCAGGCACAAGGCTGGAGGTCACTCTCCTCGCCTCCGCCCTCGGGCGCGGGACCACTCTCAGGGTCCTCACCTTACCTCCCAATAAACCAGCAACCCAAGACCCCTTTCATTCACCACCACCTCCACGCCCCCAACTTCTTACGCTGACACAGACTGATGCCTCCTATGTACCCAACTCGTTCATAACAGATCAAATTGCCCTACCCAAACACGCACATGTGTTAAATGCGGCGGCCCCCATAATATATTTTATATAGGCTGTCCCACTTACAAGTTCGAGTCTGAGTGACCTGCCCTGTACCTGCTCTGCTAGGTCTTGGTCTGCATCTGGTGTTCCCCCTCTCTGCCTGATGAGACGTCCTTATATCCAGCAACTCCTTGTCCTGCTGGCAGAGGTGCCTCGTACCATATTCTTTGGGTGTCCATTCTTCCGGGCATGACAAAGGGCCGGAAGAGAAAGTCTTAGGCTGGCAAGGAAGGTGCGAAGCCAGGAAGTAAGGCAGCTGCAATGCCTAGGTGTGAAGCCCAACCCATCCTGTTCTGCATAGCGCTGACAGTCTGTGGAGCAACAGTGTTTGGCAGGATGTCCAAATTGCCAAAAATTTTGACATTGACGGGGAGGAGGTTGGTATGGTTGAACAGGGAGGGATTGTCCACCAGTGTAGATATGAACGGGAAGGTCATGTGTACTGAAAGTAATTTTGGCAATGTTGGCGGGTTTCTTTTGATGACCTCTAGGAGGAATGGAGTAGCAATGTACTGATATCACCTGATCTTTGAGGCAGCTGAGCAAGTCTTCACAATCTCACCAATCTTTGGTATCGACTGGGCAGTTTGCTGGGGAGATAGAGACAGTTCTGGTACAAGTATTAAGAGTTGGATGAGGTTCTGCAGGGATGGGATTGCTAGAGAGATCAGTTAGTTTTGATAATGCTATAGCTTCAGCTTCAGATTTGACTGTTACAAGACGGGAGTGATCACGTTGGGTACGGAAAGGGACTCTGCCTACGTGTTTTTGGAGACATTGTTGAAAGAGAAGAGTGTTGCCTGAATAAGGAGCTATAGGGGGGATCACGAAAAATCAGTCCCATTTAGCTGGGCTAAATAGAGTAGTTAAGATATTTGTAGGGTTGGTGGTGGTAGAAGGACTGGGGGCCGTGTGGAAGCAGGAGTGTTGTTGAGGGGGGTAGTATTACGGAGAGATGGAGAAAAAGGCTGTAAGGTAGTAATAATGCAGGTCTTTGATGAAGAAAGTTGTAGGGGTAGAGGTGATGAAGTTGAGGAAGTTGGGAGAGTAGGAATGTCTTCTGGAGATTGAGTCTCAGCTTGGTGGGGTAGTAGTTTCAGTGTTCGGAGTCGTGGTCAAAGGAGAGCCTGGAGTCGGGGAGCCAGTGGGCTATTTGATGAAGAGGCAAGCCTCAATGTCCCTAATAAGGGTATTATTACATCTTCATTACTGGCCATGGGAAGCCTTGATTATGTAAGGAAAATAGACTGTCCACCCCCCAGTGCTCTGTATGGGGGTAAGGCCTAGACAACTAAATCAGTGAGATACCGTGCCCATGGTCCCCACAGGCCGTTCATGACTGGCACAAGATCAGCCTTTCATCCTTTCAGCACGGCTCTTACACCTTAGGAAGTAGATGGTAGAAGGGGTTGGAGAAGGGACGGAAACGAAAAGCTGGAGGGGGAAAATGTTTGTTTAATGTTTAAGGTTTGAAAATAAATGTGCTAGACATCTGAGGTCATATAGCACTATGGTAAAGTATTGCGTCGGAAAGGGCAAAGGAGAGTTAAAGATTATGATAAAATGTGTTAGATGTCAAAGGTTTAAGAACATTATAGGATAATATGGTAGTGAAAAGGGGGGATAGGGGAGCAAGTGAGCTAGATCAGAAGTTAGTATAAAGGGGAGAGTAGGGCAATTGAATGAATCATAGTGTATCTGTCACTGGAGAATGTATAGGAAAAATGTTTAAGGAAGAATAGAGATAGCTGTTGAAGAGTAAGAGAAAAATCTGGGGAGAGGGATGGTGTTAAATATCAAAGATTAGAGGTTGTTACAGAAAAGTATGGTAATGAAAAGGGGAAAGGAGGGAAGTAAATGAAGTAGGGCTGTGATTAATAAATGGGAAAGGTTAAGGAGGCAGATTGATTAAATGAATTGTATTGTATCTGTGACTGGGGAAGGAATAGGGATAATAGGTGATAATGTTATATATGGTTGTATTAATAGTAGGGGATTAGGTATCTGGGGGTTGAGACAAAGGATCAGGAATAGGTGAAGGAGTAGTGTCTGGGGGTTCGATAGGGACAGTGCGGTCTGGGGAAGGATTCACGTGTATATCCAGGAGGGAGTGGGAGGGATAGTAGGGAAGGATGGAGTTATGGGGGGGAGGTTCAGTTTGGGTGGTATGGGCAGTTTGGGTGGTTGAGAGGATGAGGCATCTTGGGAAGGGGTTGGGGGAACATAAGGGGGCAGAGCAAGTGAGTGAATTGCAGTGTATCTGACTAGGGAAGGAGTAGGGACACTGATCAAGGAAAACAGAGGTGGCTGTTGGAGAACTAGGAGGAGAAGAATCCAGGGGTTGAAAGAGAGACTGGGAAGGTGGTGAAGCACTAGGAAAAATGTTTGGAGAGGAGGGGTCTGGAGAAGGACACTGTTGTGATAGGATTCGTGTGAGTATTCAAGTGGTAGAGAGGGTGGGGTATGTTGGGAGGGTGTAGGAGGAAGGGGGGTGGAGGGAACTTGGGAAGGAGGAGGATGAACATCTGCAAATACTTTAAATGTAGCAGGAGTAGGAACAGAGGGACTGGGGGGTGGATGAGGGAGCGGAGTGTTCCCTTGGGTCATCTTTAGGAAGTTTCGGATGTCTTCAAGGGCTTCTGAAGGGAAATTTGGTATAAAGGACTGAGAAACAAGAGAAACAGAGTGTGGAGTGGAACGCTTAGGTTGTCTGGTACGACAACTAAAGTGAGGAGGAGGGGTAGGTATCCGGGAAGTGGTAGAGATTGGAGTATCTGGATTTAGGATGGAAAATGGATTTGACTGGTGGATAGGGTGAGTAGACATAGGACGTAGGTTTTGGGTATTGGGAACAGATACCTGGGGAGATGCAGAAATATCTTATGTAGATGGTGAGGGAGCAGAGCGCAGGACTGTTTTGGAATAAGTTGAGAGAGAAAAACCTCGTCGTCATGCTTCCTGTCTGGCCTCTCATAGAGTGAGGCCTAGTTTAAATCCGAGGACTACTACCTCCCATTCAAACTTATAGGCAGGGCAGCTCCTATAAAACACATTATGGGAGTCTCCACAATTGGCACATGTACGTGACTGAGCAGGGCAATTTGAACGGTCATGACCAGGTTGGGCACATAAAGGGCATCGGGCTGTGGAGTGACAATGTTTGGCTGGGTGGCCAAAACGCCAACATTTTTGACATTGACGAGGAAGGGGTTGATATTGTCGGACATGATAAGACAATCCACCAATATAAACCTAATGGGGGAGGTCTTGTCTATGGAAGCTAATTTTGGCAATATTGACATGAGATTTATGTTGGCCTCTAGGAAGAGTGTAACACTGTACTGCCACTGCATCATATTCATCAAGGCATGAAAGTAGGTCATTTTCACAGTCTGACCAGTCCTTGTTATACATGGGACAAGCATTTGGGGGTATAGAAACAGTTCCAGTACAAGTATTAAGAGTTGGGTGAGGTTCAGCAGGAATGGGTTTGCCAGTAAGGTCAGTTAGGGCAGGTAGTGCACGAGCTTGAGCTTCAGATGTAACTGTGACAAGGTGTGAACGATCAGAGCGACTGCGAAAGGTAACCTTGCCTACTTGTTTCTGGAGGCACTGCGGAAAGAGAAGGGTATTCTCAGAATAGGGGGCTGTGGGGGGAATCACAAAGAATCGATCCCACTTGGCTGTGCCAATTAGAGTACCCAGAAGGTTTGCAGAAGTAGAGGTAGTAGAAGGACGAGGGCGAGAGGAAGATGGGGTGGTGTGGAGTGGAATAGTTCTGCGGGGGGGAGGACAATAAGGATGAAGAGTAGTAATAAGGGAAGAGGGGTTGACATTGAAGAGGGTAGTGCAATAGGGGATGAAGAGGAGAATATTGGGGATAAGGAAAAGGTATTTTCCAGGGGTTGAGTAATAACCTGAATGGGTTTTTCAGAATGATTAGAGTTGTTTGTAAGCGTCGAAGAGGGGGTATTAGTATCAGTGGTCAGAGCCGTGGTCATAGGAGGGGCAGGGGTCGGAAAACCATCAAAATCAAATTCAGATAGGCTATTTGATGAAGGGGCAAGCCTTAATGCCTCTATCAAGGGTAAGGAATCTTCATTACTGGCCATGGTGAGCCTGAATAAACTGGGGCAAAGAAATGGTCTACCCTTTAGGGTCCCCATAAGGGGTAAGGGCTAAGTAATTAACCAAGGGAATACCGTGCCCATAGCTCCCGGAGGCCGTTCGTGACTGACACAAAGCCAGCCTTTTATCCTTTCAGCACGGCTCTCACACCTTAGGAATGGGATAGAAGGGAGTAAAAAAGATACAGAAGAGGAAAGAAAAGAAGAAAGGACCAAGCAAAATTAGTTGAGGCAAGGGCTGAGGCCCAAGGTAGGGATAATCCTCTACATTGGGTCTCGGTCCTCGTCTCCTAAGCCCTCCCACAACGACAACGAGCTGTTTTGGGAGGGTGGAGGGGGAAAAGACCATGCAAAATTAGATGAGTCAAGGGCTTAGGCCCTAGGCAGGGGAGATCCCTGTCTTGGGTTTCAGTCTCCGTGTCCTAAGCCCCTCCATGACAACAACGGGCAAGGGAGTGAGGGGGTTGGACTGGTTGGAATAGTTACATTTAGAATTTTTATTCTGTGACTTTTAGACTTTACAGTTCATTCTAGGAGCAGTTGAAGTAATAGCTTGAAAAAATATTTCCATTTATATAGGCTGTGAAGTACAAACATTTTATGAATTATTGAGAAATTCTGGTAACAGAAACTTCAGAAAACATAGAAAACTTATCAGCAGAAAAAATAAACTAAATATATTTCCTTTTGTTCTAAATGTAGTTTTACTAAGATTTCTAATAATACAAAAACTCTAGTTTTCGTAATCCAGAAACTGAATTAGGCAATTGAAAAAGAAAAGTATAATACTTGAGGAGCACATAGTCTGATACTATTTTGGACCTTTCTGTTTTTGTAATGACTTGTATGAGTATCATGAAAATTATGATTATCATTAGCTATTAGTAATAACATCATTATCGTTACAATTACTGTTATTATATCTTTACTAATATTGTTATTCTTTTCATCATTATTATAATTATTAATGTTAATACCATCATTAATATTATTATCATCACCATTTTTTACTATTATTATCAATTATTTATCATCACATAAGTCCAAACTCAATCAATAACTTCAGATACCAAAGGACCAAGTATTTGTAAAGGATAAAGAGAAACACAAGAAGAATACAAACTTTATAAAACAATAAATATTGTTTAATATTCATTTTCTAATTTATCCATACGAAAAGGATAAAGACAGGCACAGGAAGAACACTAACTCAATAAAAATGTCACTTTTATTGATATTAACACTTTGTTTATTGTGACTAACTCAAAATGTATTCACAATAGTCTGTTTATATTTACTTGTTCTATGTACCTGTTATAATATATATTACAAAAGAAATAAAAAGTTTGTAAGCGCTAAACTGGAATGTACATGTACTTAACAGTTTCTATACATCCACTGGAACACTATACACCATAATTATAAGCACAAAACCAAATTACCACACTGTCTTTCCTTTAGAAACAACCTTGTTAACGCACCATTCCGTAATAGGTAAATTCTGCAAACATAACACTTGACAACATGGCAATTTTATCATTTATAAACACACTAGTCTTCAACACAAGCATTTCAGAATCCAGTAGAACACGACACCATTTCACTTGTCATTTTGTGCAACCACTGTTATCACATTTTTAAACTACCTGGAATAGAGCTCTTGCTCCTCATCATCAGATTCAGAGAGAAGGGGGACCTTTTGGTAATTTTCCGCAGGCGTTAGAGGAATGTGCTGCGGTGGTGGGGGCTTTTGTGGGTGCATGGCCTTCAACACCACATGCAAGATGATCCCAATGATACAGAAGAAGAGTCCCAACTATTGGAAGAAATAGACAATATTATTAAATATCAGGCAACTGATACCTCATTCTACAAAGCACTTTTTTGCTCTGTATTGTTTTGAAATTCTTATACCCAGTTTGGAGTGCAGGGACAAAGATATCTCATCACATAAAATAAAATCAAGAACCAACTACTGAAGGCTATTTTATCATTGTGCCATCATAGTCTCATAAGGCAAAGTGCAACCCATTATTATCTGGTCTTTACTGGTTCCATGAAGCAAATAATGCAT